AAATGAGTGGGGGTGTAGAGGGGGAGGAAGGCTGAGGAATGCCCATCCATCAGGCACTGAACCCAGAGTCTGGCCAGAGCCCCAGCCCCCTCAAACGTCCAGACCTCTTCATCACTGTCTGTGTATATATGGGTTGGAAAAGCTATCCATTTCTCAGAACAATGAAGGGAGAATGAACCCCCCCAATGTCACTAAAGAAGGGTTTCATTTCACAAGTCAACCAATATGTATTACATTTCTGATCAATTCATTATTTCTGTTGATGCCAAAAGGAGAAATTAGTCTTTTTTTTACCCATCCACAGGCAAGAAGTGACATAGTGACAGTTTGCCATTAAATAGATTGTATAAACCATCTAACGTTGACACCAGACACCATAGTCTCTTTCCCGTTTCCCATCAACAGTCAATGGCAGTTTTTGTGACTAAAACTTTAAATGCAATTTTATTTCCTACAAAGGAAAATTAATCTAGTCGCCAAGTAGAATATAAAATAGGGACATACAGAATGGGAAGCACACATCCAAAAAAGCTTTAACAGGTACTGGATCAAACACCTACAGAATCATAAAACTCATAATAAAACATAAAACCTTATTACGTTGTACGTATGTAAACACATTCATAAAATGGCCACATAAAAGTAAAAATCTTAACATAAAACCTGGTGTACATCACATTCCAAGAAACAATGGTTTGTTTAACCTTCAACAAGTAGTTTTAGGATGGCAGATATAATATGCTTATATGAGTAATAATATATAAGTCACTAAAAACTGGGGCTGTTCCGATACCAATACCAGTATGAGCATCATACTAGCATTTTAAGCTGTATTGGTCATCGGCGAATGTGAGTCTATGCACTGATCCAATATCACATCATTTATTAGCCTTGAAATGAGACCCTGCTACTTCCCATCAGCACCCTGTTTGCCTTTTTTTCCAGGATGGCAGGTCATAACCTGCTCTACACTGACTCTGATTGGCTTACCTTGACATTCTTACCCTAACCCTAACCAGTGTCACTCCTCTTTTATAAACCTAACCAATCCAAATCAATGAAGGCAACTAGTACCAGCCGATCAGAGTCAGAGTAGGGCAGGGTCATGTGCCACTGGGCTCTCGTAGCTACTGTGTTAGAATGGCGAGAGGAGTTGATTTCCAGCAGTGTAACATTAGCCAGAGCTTGCTAAATGTCAGCAATTTGACTGACTGTCAAACTAGATAACAATAGAAAGTTCTATGGCATTCGTTTGTATGTATTTGTTTGTGCTTTACAAAGGGTTTATCTTGAGCCAGGCTATACCACAATGATAGCAATCAGACAGGGTTAGTAGGATACAGTATTGTATTGATATTCAGTATCAGTTGATACGCAAAGTTCAGGTATCAGAATCAGTATCGGGGAGAAAAAAACACCAGATGAACGGTTACAAAGTTGAAGCTTTAGCTGCTCTGTTTGTACAGAACTGGATCATGTTGAATTCGGCCCATTCCTGTAAGACGCTGTCAGGCAAATGCTTGCTGGGCAGAAACACAGCACAGCATCCCTTTCCTGTCCAGGTAGCATGTCTGGAAGTAGATACTTAGACACTTAAGCAGAATGGATGTTCTCTGGGAGCAAATACAATCAGAACTAGATATATAGTTATATTTACTTATAATCTTAAAGGTTAAACTATTCATTCATCAAGTCACTGACAGAACATCAGCTAATTACTCAAATGTAAATGGAGCATTATAAACCACTGGAGACCAACAAAACGTGCAATATGTCGTATTGGTGAATCTGTAAAATGTTCAGCTCTCAGTCTCAGCTTTTTGTGGCTGGATATGAATGAAAACCTGCTGGAAGGTTCCCAGGTGACAAAGACTTGACGGACTACCATCTTGATGTGGGGTCGCTGACCTCCACTTTCCTTCTGGTTTAACAAGCTACCCCCACCAGTGCTACAGGACATACGAGCTCTGAGGAGGGGGAGGAGTGTGTGTGTCTATGTGTGTGTATATACATATGTGCATCTGGTGAAACCTGGCTCTGGGGTGGATCTTGTTCTCCTGGTCGACCTTGAATGTCCTCATTCATTTCACTGATAGCTCTGAATAGGAATACATGCTCTGAATACACTTTGCTAAAGCTTCGATTCAAATGAGAAGAGCAAAGCCTTCACCCTGCCAAGGTTGGGGCTTTGAGTCCCCCTGCCCGCTGCCCCGGGATAACTGTATTACTACGATACAGGTGCTTTAAAATGGTATAGATAAATGAAAACATTTCTACCAAAGCCAGGGTGTCAAGGGTACAGTTGCACAAAATCCTACTCTGAAATGAATATATTTACACCCTGAAATAAATGTGTCCTTGAATTACTACTAATTCCCTCAGTTTAGACTGATAGAGGGACTGGAGTTTAGTTATTGTGGCAGTAGGATCTGGGGTTACAGGTTGTTTTGACTAGTTTGGTCAGTCAGATCCATAGGATACTGAGCTCATTGGTTTTTTTTTTTTTGGAATGTGAGGGTTAAAATGACCTAGGGAAGAGTTGCATTATATTAATAATAACAAATATCTTTAAATTAGATGGTTTATAGGTGAAAACAAAACAAGTTTAATATAATAAAACTATTTAAATATTTAAGTATTTCTATTTCTTCACCAGAATGGCATCTCTAGCAGTGTGTAAAGTGGTTTAAATAGAATATAATGCTTTTTGGGGTTCAAATAATTAATGTGTGTAAACAAATGATCACAATGTCAGCTCTGATACCTGCCAGGCTTTGCAGATATTGTGCATTGCATGCACTCCGTCTGCACTCTGCCTCTAGCTGTGACCACAACTATTAGTCTGATGGTTCTTAAAATAAAAATATAAGGTCTAGAAATACTCTATTGAGTGTTGAAAGGTACATCTAAAAAAAGTATATCTTGACAAAGCTACCTACTACAACAACTCTGGTGTAACTATCCCTCACTAAACATTAACAAGTAATAAAGATAAGAAAGTGGGATGGGGAGTATTTCTTCACTCACACTTGTCATATATCCTTCCCAAAAAGCACCCATATACAGGTTCTCTGTAGGAAAAGGGATCCACTTTTACCACTAAATTGTCCAAACCAGAGTACCATGCTTGTGTCTAATTGTGCTCACAGTGGGAGGCCTAATAGCTTTGGAGGAAAAAAATACGACCAGTTTTAGTCTGTCACGGTCATGCACATTTAATTGATAGAAATGTTATTGTGTCCACAAAATAATTGACAGTGTGGCAAGGCAAATTGAGAATTATCCAATACTTGGAAACACCAGCTAACCCCAAATTATTGCAGGGTATATGAGATCCATCGAAAGACAGCATAATAAGTTTAGTTTTAGAGCAAGTGCAGTCATTGCTGGAAGACTTCTTGTTACTAGGAAGTTTACTCAGGGAATGACATGGTTTCTATCCACAGTCAGATTGAAGAAATATGACTGGTCTGTATCATTTTTTTGTAGTCTTCCTTATAACCTTCCTTTACATGTTTATTTTATTATATTGCACAGTTTTTAGCTCTGGTAATTTGAATTAAAATACCAATAAATGTATCTTTGAAAAGAAAAGAAAAACTCTTGGGAGTGCTTCAATTATTAAGGGGCTTTGGGGCACGGAGCGTGGCTGACTCGCTAGCGCAGTGTTAAAGCTGAGGCACTTTGTGCTTGCAATCGGAGATGAAGAGGCTATTTGTCTGTGTAGTGTGCAGAGCTCTTATCAGGGATTTGTTTGCGGCACAACTTCATTTGCATAAATTTCTTGGAGAGTAAGATGAAAACTCAGCACTCTTGGCTGGAGCAGGGGGAACAGATTGTCCTCACTGTGCACATTCCACCAACCAGCTCACATCGTTGCTCTCAAGTCGAACTTGGGGTGAGCTTTCCATCTCATCACCCTGATTGTGAATATATATCTGTAAGAATAAACAGAATATTCTCATTTTCATTTTATGTGCCTTAAGTATCCCAGCTGCTTTTAAAGGGAGTATTGGATCATGAGATGACTGCATTTGAAGGATAATTTCAGTTTATTACAACTTGGGTCTTATTTTCTCAGCTTTGGCTATCATTTTTATCGGTCAGGGTAACACTTTAATCAGCAAATGAACTACTGAGATCTGGGAACACTGTGAAATAACAACTACAGTAAGTATGATGGGTCAGAGAGGATGAGCTCCAAGCTGTGACGGACAGTTTGTCTTTGTTTTCTCTTTCAAAAAGGTTTGTGTAATCTGGGATTTGTCTGAAACCTGTGTGATCTGACTGCTTGTGTTTCTGCCCCCACTGGATTTCTCCTTAGTGTTGTTGCAATGTTCCCATTGTAGCAATTAAAGGATAAGTCTGGTGGTATTCTTTACTTTTCACATCATCAACAAATCTCATGAAAAGACCAAAACAACAATGAATGTTCCTACAAACAAGTCTGTGTATCCAATCTTGTTCTTACAACTTCATCCAATGTACCATAGATCTCTATGTCCAAAAACTATTCCAAACACAACAGTGAGCCACACTGTTGTACTGGGTGTTCCTTCATTGCTATGAACACACACATTGTTGTTTATTTTTACTCCGTCCCGCTGCCCCAAATACTAACCAGAGCACCAAATGTGGATCAATTCACCACTGAAAATAGTCCCCAACTAATGCACAGTTTACTCCTGTTTGAGTAATGTTAACTAAAAACTAAAGTGACCAGCTCACTTTGGAACTTACTGAGCCTTTTTAAAAAGATCATCTATATATTTTCAACTTTTCTGAGAAGGAATCGGTGGGTTTGAGGCTGAGAGCCACAGACAGGTGTAAGGAAGTTGGAAAGTACTAAGAGACTGACTAAGATATTGTGATATTGAAAGGGGGGTAACAGAGATAATTTCTCCTTTGGGAATCTACTGAGTATCCCATAAACAGAGACTTCCTTGTCAACTGTGTCCTGGGAGGGCTGCAGGAGAAAGAAAACAAAAAACACATATAGATCCAATAAATTCTTTTTATCGATTTTCCAATAAAAAATACATTCATACAGAAACTATTTTACAAAACAATTCCAAATGAAAAAATCTTGTTATGCCATAAAACAAACAAAAATAGAGCCTCATATTTTATCTCCATGTTTATCCAATAAAGATTCTCTAGCTAAAGATAGGGTGTCTTCGGAGGTCTTTGAGAAGTTAAGAAAAAAATCACATGGCAAATAAAAAACTCAATACTTAATGGACACCAGAATGCAAAATTATGACAATTCAAGTGTCCAGAACAATTCACGTCTGAAAAGTAGTTTTTTTCGTTGTTGTTTTCTTAAAAGATGATAGGCCACATGTGTATACGCAATTGATGCCTTTTTAAACATACATTTGCTCTACATTTCTCCAATCAAATCATAAACAAAGATGTTACAGAAGCATATGAACAAGAATGGAGTGTGTCTATTTTACAATAATTCTTCAGCCTCTTGTCTTTATTGGTTAATCTTTAGAAACAACACACTGCACTTGTTTTTGGTCCCATACCCTTTCAAAATAGAAGCTTCCTTACAAAATTCTCTTAGTTTACAATGTACACATCTTTGCATTTTTGACATTTCTCAGTGTATGGACTTTCTTTAACGTTGACCAGGTTCACCTGTACAGGTGTTGAGTTACAACAAGTTTTATGACCACTTAAACCAGCCATATCCTGAAAGCAGACAAGTTCTTTTTCAACACTTCCATATGTCTTACTTTTCAACAAAACATATATCCAGTAAAAAAAACAGTGGCTCCCACATGTTTTCTAGAAATAGGGAAAATTGTGATGGAGTCTATCCAATTGTGAAACTGAAGGGATTTCTATAAACTTGAAAGATCAGAGAATTTTGTCAACCCACGGAGGAGTGCGTTGAAGTCATGTACAGTAACTTAAGTTAAAACATGCATATAGTGAAGTTGGTACAGACATACATCTGGTCCTGGTCTCATCTCAGTTCACCTGCAGATGCAGACAGATACCTCTAGACCTGCAGCACAGCTCAGCTGAACTGGTGAGACCGGTTTTTGGTACCGTTTAGTCAGATCACAGGTTATTTAAACCAGGTCTGAGTAAAGATACTGACTCACCCTGAGGGCAAGACTTACCAAAACATACAACAAAACAGACTCATTGTTGAGAATGTCGTCATTATTCTAAAGGACACATCCTTTTCTTTAAAGACTGTAAGCTTTTGACATGTCTGCAGACATAAATGGCCCGTACAGCATACTGTAAATGGTTTCTTTGTAGTAAATTCTTATTTGTCACAGCCTTGGTGGCTGACCATGCCACATTTCATGAGAACATTATTTCCTAGAGTCTGTACCTTTGACAGCAAGTTACAGTCGATCTGAAGTGCATCTACACCACTTTATACTACATAGTAGTAAATCTTTACAAAACTGAATTGCTTTTCCAAGTGCTCCACAATTCTGTCTCAGACCAATTATTTTGGCGTGATTTTGGGGAATATGATTTAGTTTTGATAAGGTTATGATAACATTGAACAGATAATGCACAGAGATGTAAAAATGGCAGTCATTATGAAGCTGATATATAGTTCTTTTTTATTTTTAAGGAGTTTAGAGGAGTCTGTCGCGAGACAAAAGGGCAAAGGTGCGACTGTATGGATCAGAGCCTTTATAAAGCAATTCACTAATGGCCTAGTGCATTCGCAACCCCGGTTTGGTGTGTGTGTGTGTGTGTGTGTGTGTGTGTGTGAGAGAGAGAGATCTATTTAACAGGACAAGGCCACTTACATAAGGCATCAGTAAGGTCAACAGTGCATTTACAGATAGAACAAAAGAAGAGCAAGTGAAGAAAAAGGAACAAAAATCCCATGATCAAGACAGTTGCCAAGCAATAGTGGTATCCCCAACTTATTAAGAAAAAAAAAATAAAGACTGCCTTATGTGTTTTGTACAATACTATGATATTGAGTAATATGAAGGTAGCTGCTCTTGAATGGAATTTTGTTGTCCTATAAGCAAACAGGTGAGCAACTCATCCCCAGATCCCATGCAACTTGTGTTATAATGGCAATAACTGTTTGTGTATAACCGTTGTTTTTTTTTTTTCTTTTTCTTTTTAGATACAGAGCTTACACAATGGACAACAAAATGAGCTTTATAGCGTGTATGTTTTGAGACAGGCTACATAATACATTGCACATTTAATAGCTGCACTAAACAAAACGACCTCCCATGTTTGAATAGGGAGCTGTAGTTTCACCTCCGGACAGAAAGGGGGCGCTCTATAGCAAATCAGCTCCACCAAACAACCCTTTACTCCCCTCCACAGCCAACAGACTCAAACTGCACAGACAGAACCCTTGCATTCATTCTAAGTGAGACCAAAAAACCTCCCTCACACAACGTCACCCCCTCTGTGTCATTCACTCGCAGTTCCACAATGCAAGCTCCATCCGCTCCATAAAGCCAGCACAGGCATCCAGTCGCAGGCACTCACAGTCCTCATGCGCACAGGCAAACATACTGTCATTGGAGGAACGGCACCCCTGCAGGAGTCCCATAATCCTCCAGGAAAAAAGCGTCGAACACCATACAGAAGAGTCTCTTCCCGTCTTCTCCAGTCCAGATTTTTCCCCTTCTCTAACATTTCTTCAAGTCTCTCCCCGCCCTCCCATTCCTCCATAAAAGCCTTTCAAGAGCAATCTCCACAGCGAGGTGTTGGAGGCACTAAGTATGGTGCAAATAATAGCCTGCATTGCTTCATCTTTTTCCACTGACTGGAACACGGCGGTGTCCATGTTAACGCTCCCAGGACACACCGGCCTCGCTGATCCCCCACAGGTCAGGACAATCAACCAGATTCATCCCTCAGAGCTCTCAACACAGAGGCCATCTTAGATGTGCCTCTTCATGTGCAGCGCCAGGTGGTCAGAACGGGAGAAACACCTGAGGAGGGAAAATAGAGAGAAGATTTAGCTGTTGGGTTTAAGAATGGTTTCATATAACTGCTGTTTTCTTATATCCACATATATACTATTCACATTTGCTGTTCAAAACGCTATTTGTCTGATTTATCTGTGTACAAAATAAAGTTATTATAACTTTAGCTGTGTGTTGGAAGAATGGAAAATGTTTTTGTTTATTTGTTCAGCCCTATTCCTTGTAATCACAACAAAGAACTGGAATTAGGCCTAATTGAGCTGCTTCTGATATATTACATAATTGAAGCAGCTTATTAAGAAGTGAACCCAGTTAAGCAAACTTTTTTCTTTTTTCATTATCACAATAAAAATATAAATACTGTTGAAATTGTATTTATTTACATAAAACTGGTGGCTTTGCAGCCATTTTGCCATCTGTTTGTTGGCACTTTGGTAGTTCTTTTTGCCCAATCGATATAATAGCTGTCAGACATTTCTGATATCTCAGACAAGTAGGTTGACCTGAGCTTAACTGTCTTTTCTTCTCTTTGGCTGTATGATATGACATTAATGTGGTAGGTTGAGGGGAAAAGCCCATGCTTCACCCTCATCCAGTTCCCTGTCATTACAAGGACCAAATGGGGGACCATAAAGCTACAATGGCTCATTGAGATGTCGCCCAGTCTCACTCCCTACGCTTCTCATCAAATCACCTCCTTGGCTTCTACTCATCACCCATCTACATTCGAATGTTTGTTCATCTCTCTTTTCATCCAACCCCTTGACCTCGACCCCATTTGATCAGTCCATCCTTGACCCTCATTCATCCCCCCACCTGAAGTGTCATTTGGATAAACTCATTTGCATAAGTACATGGTGGGCTTTGTAAGTGAATGAGTGCTTAGCACCAAAGGTAAAGGGAAGGGGATTGCAGCTTTACTATGGTGTTTGGGAGTTAATATTGTGAAAGGCCTTTGAAAGATGCATGAAATCAAACAATGATTCACAGCACAATATTATTTTTGCCTCTTAAAAACTCTTGCTTGGCTGCTTGCACTGTTGACATTCTGACTTTTTCCATTTCTGTACCAATTGAAGGTCACCCAGGTCATGTGTCAGCTATCATGAACGTTGAGTCTCACCTGTCGCAGTGACTGCATTTGAATGGCTTTGCTCCAGTGTGCTTCCTAAAGTGTCTGGTGAGCTCATCGCTTCGTGCAAAGCGCCACTCGCAGCCCTCCCATGAACACCTGTAGGGTTTCTCACCTGCAAATAAAAGGGAAAAAAAGAGTCAACATTTAAGGAAGTGCATTCTTTGTAAAAAAGTGTAAATCCTTAGAAAAAGACACTAGTGTTGAAAGACTGCTAAGCCATTGTTTGTGCTTAACAAACTGGTTTCTGCAGGTTTTGTGAAGAGTTAACCCATCAATACTTCTAAAATAACTAGCAGCCAGTCTAAAGACATGCTAGGATTTTGTCAAATAGACCTTTCTTATCCACTGAATCTTATCCCTTTAATTATTTGCCGTCTGCCACATTAGTAGTAATTTTCAGCCATCAATCAAACGTCTGTTATAATATTCTGACATTTTGAAATTCAACTTCTCAAATATGCAGCCAATATTTACAGATCTTACTTATCCGAGAGGTTTTACAATGCTGATTTCAGAGAAAATATGATCCTGCACAAGTAGGTGCTAAGCAGATTGGGCTGACTACTGTAAGTTGAGGAGAAAAACAACCTCGTGCCTTGCGGGTCTTGAGAGCTGTGGTATGCAGCTTTAAGGAGCTGCTCGAGTAGACGGCTTATGTAATGGGGGAGAGCTGCAGGAAAAAATAGAGACTGTTCCTAATGGTCCTAAAGGCCATTAACCATGAAGGAGGATGCTAGGAATGTGACTTCCTCTGCTAATGGGAGGCACAGCCTGGCAGAGGTCAAAGGTGACAAAGGAAACTGCTCACATTTGAACCCCCGGACCAAACACCGCAAATGTCAGATTCCCATAATTTCTTTTGGACTTTGAATGCAAACCAGAGACTCTGAGTCTTTTCCCATGGTGAAATCTGAGAACTGTTGATTTGTTTTCAGGATCCACATCCTCTGGGTGCTGCTCGGCCACAAAAGAGCATCCCTCCCCCTCCTCCTCCCGTCTCTCGCTCTATGTCTCCCTTCCCCCCTGCATGAAGTCACGTTCCTCTGTGTGAATTAGGTCACAGTTGAGGGCATTCCTCCTGCCAAACTATTCAAAGTATGTGGGAGTTTTTTGCAGCACTTTGAGCAGCAAATCAACACCCGGGTTTATTTTAATCGCACTTTCGAGAGGTTTTCACTCCTCAGATGAGGTGATTTAGTGTTGCTTTGGAAAATATGGTTTAAAAACATGATGTCATTACCTGTTAGGGCTGTGTCACCCCCGCCCCCTCCATCAGCCCATTCACACTCATGACATTTGCATGGCAGTGATAAAAACATCTCGCTCTCAAGCATCTTTACCTGTGTGCGTGCGCTGGTGTGCTTTGAGGTGAGAGCTCTTGGTGTACACCTTCCTGCATCCATTGAAGTGACACCTGTGCACCCGCCTCCTGCCGTCAGGTGACGCCTCCCCGCTGGTCAGCCCAGACCTCTCCAGCGTCCTCTCCATGCCCCCAGTCCTTATTTTCCCAGGTGAGTGCAGAACAGTCTGTATCCCACTCCACACCTGGGTGACAGAGCCCTCCTTGCCCAGCTCAGGTGAGGATGGCGGCGTGCTGATGATGGCGGAGCCCAGGTCTTCGCCACCGTCTCCCAGAATGTCAGTCAAAGAACCGGAGGAGAAGTCGAGGGTAGGGGAGAGCTCCTCTGAGCTGTCCGAGGCCTCGCTGCTGGCATCGGAGTTGAAGCCGCCGGCGTCGAGGTGCTGGCTGTCCTGATTGTCTTCCTCCTCCTTGATGTGGGGGATCTTTGGGTCGGGCTCGCTTGACTTGTCCCCGCAGGCGAGCATCAGCTTGCTCCACAGGTCCTCCTGACTCTCAAATTTGAGGTCGGTGGCTGAGACGTAGGGCTCGCTCTGGAGGTATCTCTCCAGCTCGAGGCATGTCTGTGTGGAGGGAAGACAAGATAGCAGTGAGTTCACGGGTGCACAGCCTGAGGCCTGTAACACAACGCCTCTCTTAAACTGGAAAAACCCCAAAACACCCAAAAACTCGATTTCTTTTCAAGGGAAACACAAACTCTGGCGTTTGTATATACACTGTGTTTATTCTTAGCAGCAGCAGCAGCAGGAGGGGGAAATGCTGTGACACTGTAACACCACTGGCCCTGCTTCCGTCCTGCCTGCAGGAACGAGGCAAGACACAATGTCCTATGCAGAGGATAGTCAAGTACGTTCTAAGGGTGCCCTCTGAGGCCATATCAGGGAAGATTACAAGCACCACATTTCCTTCTTGCATGCAAGAACAAGGTGCTCTTACCGGCCAACGCTTGCATGGTTGTGTGTGTGAGTGAGTGCGTGTAGGTGCGTATTGGGGTTGGTCATGAAATTTACATATGCTACAGAGCCCCCCATTGGGTTAGGGAAGTGCTTGTAGATCTTTTAAATCTATCAATTATTCAACATAATGTGGATTTAATAATGCATTCGGAGGCATCGCTAGAAATAACATAGCACACCAGGGACCGAGAGGAGGGAGGTCTGGTTCACGGGGGTCCATAAAAAGCCTGCCATGAATACTGCAAGAGCCGCTGTGGATTGTGGGTTTATTTTCTTTGAAAAGGAAGTGAGATAGCACTTCCTCAACCCACTGCAACCAGCGAGTGCAGGCCAATTTACAGACAAACAGCATTACAATAGAACTGAATGGACTTGTGGTATCCCCAGCTCAGGGTTGCAAGATAGTTAACAAGTGAGGTAAGAAGAAGGGGAGAAAAAGCCATAAAAGGACTTTTTCTGGCTTTTCTTAAACCTTTTTAAGAGTTTCACCTCTCCAGGCCTCTAATAATATTATAATGAGGCTTTCTTTCCCCTCTTTGGCTGCACACAGCTCAGATGCATATGCAAAATACAGCATATGTACAGAGCTACATGAGTGGAATACCTCAAAATAAAGTCTGCAGACTAACCTTGATACATTTTATAGAAACACTGAATGAAAATAAAAGTAAAACGACAAGCATCAACAACAATATTATACACATCCTATAGCAACACCATAATGGATTAAATGTCCATTAAGCATGGTGTGGTGTCAGTCAATTACATACTTTAAGTCAGGAACAAATAGAATTTTCTAATTCCTGGTGTAGTAAAAGGCCATGACAACTTATCATAAACACACTTTGTGTCTAAAATGGGAATATTGTGGGACCATCGTAGTAATTTGATAATGAGAGAGAATGCATTCAAGACAAATGTTTCTCGTCAGCAGTGGCGGAAAAATCCCAGGCGAGCTTTAAATGCCTGGGAGGGCGACTTGGCCCGGAGCCCGAAGAGATGTGATAGACGGAGAGATAGAAGAAGACTTCACAGTGTTGCCAATTCAATCAATTTCATTTCCTATCCAGAGCAAGAAGCGACTTTCGCTTCCCCTTTTCCTCTCCTGTATAAAACTCTGATGTATTCTGTCATCCAGGGGGCCGCTTTGTCGAGCCAAATTGGAATAGAAATCAGTCTCTCTCTCTCTCTCTCTCTCTTTCTCTGTCAGTCTGTCACTCTCTCATCTCTGTGTGTGTGTGACAGAGAGCAAGAGCGAGCGAGAGGGACAGAGAGAGAGAGAGAGAGAGAGATAGAGAGAGAGGCGGAGATACGCGCAAAGACGCACGGCTCGCCATTCAGCCGCTAAATCTGCAACACAGCGTGTTTTTATTTGATCACTCCAGCCGATGTGCCTGTACGCGAGTATGAGCCCAAAATATCTACTACAATATTTTCAACAGCAAACCTCATCAGAAAAAAACTCTAAGCGGGCTAAAAGCTAAAAAAACACAGCAAAATTCACCTCAAAATTATCATACGAATATTGTACAGTGCTATTTAAAGACATCAAAATAATACTATAAAGTATGACAAGATACCTAATAAAGTCCCCATTCTGCGCCACATGCACACTAACAGAGCATTTGGAAATACCCCAGGAATATTAAAGAGATCTGTCAATCAGGGAACTCGCATCACTTCCCCTGTGAACGCATGCAAGGCCACTTTTAACAGGGAAATCCATGTTAACAGTTGCACGAAATCAAACCTGGAGTTACATTAACAACTTGGACCTTTGCACGTCCACACGCAGCTGTCACCGAGAAAGCAAGTTTCCCGAAATTACCCACATTCCTCACACTTCCACTACAACACAACGAGCGCACACGAGCACGGGGCGATCTGTCAGGCTGTATGTTTTGGATTGGATGGAGGGAACTCGTTACCTGCTGCCAGTACTCTTCCAGAGACGGTAAAGCTGAAAAGTATCCGGTATCGTGCACAATCTGGAGCTCCTGGAAGATGCTACACATAGGGATGACATCCATTTCACTCCTAAGATGCAGCCACAAGTAGAAGCGAATTCAAGCTTGTGAGAAAAACGAAGCCTGTTGTGTTCAGAGAGAAGCTGGAGTCTGGGCTGTATTTGCATGTATAATAAGTGTGGAGTCGTGCGCTTCCAGTGAAGGGTCTGAGCGTGTGACGCACCGAGAGCGCACAACACCGAACTCTCTAAAAGTCCGTCAGCACACTGTAAACTTCCCCCCCGATTCAAAATTACAGACAAACCCACCCCCATGTGATTACATTACGTTTCGGCCCTTCCACCAATGGGCTCGCAGGAGCGCACCGCCCGCCTACCAGACCACCCCGGGCCAATGCGGAGCCAGAGCCGACTCATCCTGTCAGCCGTGGTTGGCGCGCAGTCCGGAGCGTCTCCGGCTCCCATTGGGCCAGATCGGGGCTATTTTTAGAGCACTATATATCCTCTCGCACCGAAACGAGGAAGTAGAGTGTTCGACTGATTCAAATGTGAGCTTCATCTTCTCCGGAGCAGCGGCAGCCGCAGGAGGAGAAGCGCCGGCTGGCTTCGAGCTATGCTCCAGTCTCTAAATAGGCACACTCCACTGTTGTCATTTCATCACACACACACACACGGACGTCTCTTCTCTTGGCGACTTAAAGGCTTGAGTGTAAGAAAAGAGGAAAGTCTGCAAAGAAAGACTCACGTTGGTTCAGTGTGTCTGCCGTCCATAAAGCGCAGAGCAAGGGGGGGCAATAATAGTGGAGGTGGCTTCAAACTCCGGGGGATCGTCAAAAAGCTGATCAATTTCAGTAGTCTATGAAACAAATCAGACAGACTTCTTTTCATGGCTGCCCAGAGATCCATGAGGATTATTATGAGTCTCCATGTGACAGTGGAGACAGTTTAATACGCTATTAAGTTATAATAGAGTTGCCATAAAGATGATTTTTTCACAAAATGCTGTGCAGGTTATTATAGTGGCTGCAGCTCCAGGCACAGGGCAGGTTCTGCTGGAGATAATGTGCATTTCTGTGTATGTATGTGTGTGTGTGTGTGGTGTGTCAATCACCTGTGGCTCTCTCTTTCTACATAAGACAGCTTACTTCTTTTGCACCAAAGCGTGGTTACTATCCTCGATTAGATCATGAAACCACGCCGCCGGTTTACTTGTTTCCTCTAGAAACAGGAAAGAAGAGGCAGCAAAGCGCGGGCCACCCATGGTGCACGGTGAGAGCTTCTAATACAAGATCCCAAGTATATCTCTCACAGCTCTAGAATGACATGCTATAAATAAGCACTGGCGCTCCTCCAGACATGTATTTGCCTCTTTCCCTCCTTTTAATGTAGATGATCATTGCTCTGCGGTGATTAGTGCTACCCCACTTCCCTTCTCCCCAAGATCAAAGAAGCATGAATATTAATCAGAAGTAATAGGCCTACATGTTGATATATGAAGAGATTTATGTCCTCGATACGTGTTCTGCTTCTGGCTTTATTATGTTGTTAACATAAGAACTTAATTTGTAAAATGTCATATCCGCTTTGGAAAAAATCTCAATAGTTCCTTGGCTTTAAAGTACAGGTAATCCAGTCTGTAAAATAGTAAGGCTTTTACTTTAAGTGAGTGTTAAATGGCCCACTTCCCTCCAGCCAATATGATAAACAACACTTTAATTAGTTTTATTTGTGCTCTCTATCAGTTGCCAGCCTGTTCAGCGGAGAATGCCTTATTCAATCTCTCTCCATCAGTCAAAACATTATGACTAATGCTGAGCTATTATTAAGCTTACTAACCCCTAACATGCAGTACATGTGAGTAAAACTACATGTCCAGTTGCATAAGATGTGGGATAAAGTTGAATTCAAGCGGAACAACAGCGGCATTGACGAGTTAAAGGCAGGCGATGTGACAAACAACATATTTGGAACAGAGCACCATTGTTTGACCCATCGGCCCGGTCGAGCGCCTCCACAACGGAGTCTCTTTTGTTGAGATCTCAGCTGTGGGCACATTTGCAGCACTCAGCAGCATCACATTTTGTCATGAGTCTATGGGGTTCGGGGACAGAGAGCACATGGACAGGTCTCTGTTGTGACACAGATGATAAGTAATAGAGGGGAAGAGTCATGCTTCCCTAAAGCATTGATGATTCATTGCTGACCTTTTAACAGCAGTGCACGGAGACAATAGAGTATTTATATCAATGCACATACAGAACCTTCACTATTACAGACTGGTTTTTATATGCAACATGCAGTTAGATGCAACAGGCTTTAAGGGCCTGACCTGTTAACTGTTCAGTAAGAGAAAATAATCAGACTCATCACTTCCCCTGCACTGGTTCAACAACTTAGCACACTAAGGCTAATGACACAAACCTCATAAAGATTTTTTCTTCACCAAAAATATATATTCAAAATACCAATATATTTTAGTTTTTTGCAGTTGTGTAGCTCCTCCTGTCTCTTTGTGCATTATAATGTGGAACAATTGTGCACAGCAATTTAAGCAGATTTTGTGTGCATACTGACTTTTATACTGAATCCAAGTGTAGTATGGAACTGGGACACAGCTCATGTTAGCCACTTTCTAATTCAGATGCAGGATCCCTTTGAGGCTTTTGTTTTTATTTTGCTTTATATTTAGCTATACACATATCAGTTTACATATAATGCCCGAAACAACATAAAATTCAGGCTGCTATTATTTACTCTTCTATTTATCCATGTATTATTACAACAGTGTTTTTTTTTTACTCGAGTTTCTGATTTAAAACTCATGACAGTCACCTCAGGAATGCAACACACTCACTCATCAGCTAATATTTCTAAAAAGACACTTTTGTTCTGTCATCATTAAAACTCTTTGTGCTCCACTGCGTTGAGCGTCTCTGAACCAGAGTCATCAAATCAAATTCTTGCACATTTCTTGTTTGTGTTAGTAGAACTCATCCTGACTCTGATGCAGAGATAGCATGAGTCATACGACTGTATAGAATGAGCACAGTTGCCGTGAAGCAGTGACTGATGTTGGTGGCAATGCATGTGGGAAGCTGGTCTGTGACAGGATGAATCCATAGCAACAAAATAATAAGCATAAACAGCATGCAGATACAGAGCGGCACTGCTCTGTACTGCTCAGGCCTTCTTTATGTATTGGCACATCTCATGCACTCTTCTGTACACTGTATGTTTCTACTTGAGGATGTGTCAGTTTAATGAATTGCATTTTTTGAACTATAGTCAAGTAGCAAACAATATTGGTGCAGAAACATTTTATATCATATAAGAGCAAGAGAACATCATATAGAACAAGGGGACAGAGCAAGATCATTTTATATGCACATCATTTTATTTATTGTGTTTTCTCTTAGATTCTATGGTTCTAAGTAGATGCTATAAATCTTATCTTTGAACAGGATCCAAAACCACAACTTTAATATTGAAAAAATCAGCCAGCACACGACATGCATAGATATAAACATTGAAGTACTTATACTGTACATAGGCCACAAAGTCAGAGTCCTTTTGTAAAAGTGTAAGCACAGAAAATGTCAGGGATCAAGCAGAGAAAACAAGCCATTGCTGTTTCTCATCCAACACACAGTTTAAAATCCTGCATTTGGAAACCATGCCAGAAAATGGTCACTCACTTTTAATTAGCTGTCCTAAAATTCTTTGCACAGCAGATAGTGGCCAGTTCTTAATTTGCAAACAGTGTCTGGTGCCTGATTAGAAATCCACGGCGGCAATTAGGCTAAAAAAGTTTCGTTGTTGCCATTTGAAAAGGAATAGTCAGATAGCATAATAACAAATGACAATGATTTAGAAGCTGTGCATGTTGTTGTGTCTACGTTTTGATTGATCGCCTCGCAAATGCATGCCATTTGGTGGGATTACCATTTGGATGCCTGAAAGAGTTGATTTTTCTAACATATTCAGTGCGTGGCACCCCAACTGCCTGTCACTTGAATCTAATCAAAATGCAGAGATATTCACAGTGAAAAAAAGTACAGTATATGGAAGCGTAGAGCAGGCACAATGAGCAACATTGAGTCTGTGGAGTGACTCTGCAGCAAAAACAAGCAGTTAATGTAATTGGTTCATTACATCACATGTCTCAGTGATCTTGGGTTTTGATGCGCTGCAGATGAATCAGAATCATAAGACCTCGGTCATTAAAGGGAATGGATTCCTGTCTAACAGTCGCAGTGTTTAGAAGAGCAAACATATGATGGGAATGCTGCTCTGTATCCCGAGGAAACTCACTGAGACATTCCCTTCTTCAACACCTGCCCTTAAAGTGCTTTTGAACAAGATTTTCAATTCCCAGCCGTCCAGCAGGACGAGGTAGTTACACTAAGTGAATGTGAAGCTCATGGCTGAACATTAGAAAGTAGACTCAGTCTGCTTTCTCCGTATGAGTGAGTAAGGGGAAGCACAGATCCTAAGTGATGTTTACATGGTTGCTTGAAAATAAAAGCCTTGGTGCTCATGACTAAAGCAATATTCAAAACATAACCAAATAGAGGCTCAGAATAGACTTACTAAGTTCACATTCATTTTAACATTTAGCATTTAACTCTGGTTTCTTCCTTCGCACTTGGAAGGGCAGGGTGAAGCTAGGGCGTTGCAATTTGCAGTCGCACCGCTAGATGCCACTGATTCCTACACATTAGACCTTTAAGAGGTTAGGTTATATTATGTAGGTATCCTAAGAGGGATAAGCTTTATTTATACTTGGGAGTTAAGGCTTTATTGCGTATAACAACAGAGGCTACAGGTGTAGTTGATGCCAGAGTTGACGGACACCAAGTAGCCCAATCATCGGAGCCAGAAACCAGCATTACTGTCATAAAAGCAGCCTATTTAGCTATTGCGGATGTCCATTGAACTCAGTGCTCTGTCATTCTCGATAACAGGTTTATACTAGTGTTAGAAGACAAATAGCAGAATTGGAATACAGCCCAACTTTTTCATGGGAAAAAGTGGCTAAACAAAATGTAGCCCAAATGTTTTTAGGGTTCATTAATCATAATACAAAACTGGCAATCTGGCAACATTGCTGTGATTGGTCAGTTGGACTGCTTGTGTTTTCTCCCACAAGTTTTCAGTGTTGATAAGTTGAAGAAACGCTCAGTAATTGTTTTGACTGTAAACCTTCTATTTTCCATGATTGTCGCTCTCTAGCACAAACACAATTAATGATTGCACAGCAATTGTCATTTTCACTAACT